CCAGCAGATTCGCCGGCCCCGGGGGAAAGCGGAGTGTGGGGCTGCGGGGGCTGCGGCTGCGAAACCCAACACTGAAAACCATAATCAGCGTTTATCCGGTCCAGAAGTCCGGGGCGGAGGCCGTTGCCGTCGCCACGGCGCTGAGGGACTTCGCGCGACGCCAGCAAAACATACGGGAATAAAACGCAAGCGGCGAAAGTCCGCGAGCAAGACGGCGACCATCTTGACCACGCATCATGTGTCCATAGCGGGGCCGCCAATCCGAAGAACCGAGGGCGATGACGAGGACCGCGGACGCCGCCACAACGCCCAGTCCAGTTCAATCCGGAGGGCATCGGCAGCCGGGGGTCGGGGTTCGACCTGGGCATGTGTGTCTGTGTGTGGCACGTTCGTTTCGCCAAGCAGCGCCAAGCAGCGCCGTGTCCGTCAACACGCCCTACAAGGACGGGACGCCGACGGTATTCGGCGCCGCCGTGACGCCGTGCCCCGCCCACCCCGCGGGCCGGCTGGCCTGGCCTGGCCTGGCCTCCTCGTCGCGAGGGCTGCAACGCTGCAACGCCAGACCGCTCGGCTGCCCTATCGCAGGGCGCCTGCCAGACCCGCAAAGCCGACAAACAGCAAAAACCATTCTTCGACTCCACGCTGGTGCTAACGCGCGCTAACGGGCGCCGGGACATATCGCACATCGCTGCCTCGTCGGGCCGCTCCGTGAATGGCGGGGCGGGGCGGGGGAGCGGGGCGGGGCGGGGCGACCAAACTACCGGCCGCCGTGGCGCGGCACTAAAGTCGATAGTAATTGGCTGGCCGGGGAGACACATTTGGGCATGGCCGGCGTACGGCTCCGCGTCGTCGCCCTGCCGCCCATGGCAGCCCATGGCAGCCCAGCCCCGGGGGCTTTCACTTCAGGAGACAACGGCCACCTCAGCCTGCCATTGACAAACACAACAAGCTTGGCGTCGTGAGGCACCGCGCCCCGCGCAGGCTTTCTTCGACGGCGTCCTCGCGGAGGACAAGGCAGGGCGGGGCGCGGGGCGGCGCCACCTGCCCGCCAGCCGCCGCCAGCGCTACAGCTGATTGTTTTCCCGCCGTTCCTCCTGGACACAAAGAGCGGCGCGTTTTCGGCGGGACCGCGTCAAGCAGGCCGGCGGGCCGGCGGGCCGCCTAGCTAGAGGTCGCGCGGACATCCGATAGGCCAGGCCAGAGCGGCCAAAGCCGGCGGCGGGGCGCGGCGGCCGGGGCTCTCTGGGGTGGACGGCGACGCGGCGACGGGCTGGCCAACCCGTCGACCACTGCCTGGCTGGCCGCGGCGAGGCGGCCGACTTGCACGTGCACACCGGGGGCCACGTGCGCGCGCACCGGCGCCCATCCCGCGCCCAACGGCCCACGGCGGGGAGGGGCGGGGCGCGGCCGGCGCCTTCCGGTTGGCAACAGCGGCGAGCACAAAGGACACAGACGCGCGGGAAATCGAACGGACGCGAGTCGTTCACCGAGTTAGTGTCCGAGACGCCGGGCCGGGCCCACCTGCTCTGCCAAGTGCGTGCTTCATCACCCCCTGCACCTGTCGCCCTTGTCGCTCGCTTCGCCATTCCGCTTGGCGAGCCTCGCGTGCTTCGCGCTTCGAGCTTCGCGCTTCGAGCTTCGCGGGGCCGACCGGGCTGACCGGCAGGGAGACGCTCCTAGGCCGCAGTGCAAATGAAGGCCCAGTTTATGTTTCCGACGCGAACGCAGCCCTGGGCGTGCCGTGCCCCTCCCTCCACCACGTGTAGATCGGAAACAGGCCCGTAAAAATACAGCCACGAAAAAACAAGTGAAAAAACCCTTTTCTGTCGAAAAAACACACACTTTTCCGTTCTTCAGGAGAAATGGACAAAAACGACAAAAAAGGCTTGAGTCCGTGCCGGGCCGCACGGTGCAGTTATCACCTCGGATAACAAGAGCGTTTTCTCCATAATGGGAGGGGACACTACAATGGCAAAAAAGTGCCACCTTTTTCTTGTCACTCGAAGAAGGTGCAGCGCCCGAGTGCCGCTCGCGGTGCCCGCTCGGCGCTCGCATTGCGTACCTGGCAGTCCTGGCACCTGGCTGGCCCGCCGCTCGGCCCGCCACGCCGCGCCTCACATCCGACCGTCGTCGTTTTACGCGCCTCTAGGCCTCGCAGCGCCTCGCGGGCCGCGCACCGCTTTCGGAGGCGGCCCGGGGAACGGCGGAGGTCACCGAGACCGCCCTGCCCGCGCGCCGCGCGCCGCGCGCCTCGGAGACAGCCGGAAAAATATCAGCCGGGATGGGCGTGGACGGCGTGGACGGCATTAGGCGACGCGCCGCTCGCACCGGCCCGGTTCCCTCTGTTCACTGTTCCCTGTTCGGGCACCACTCCGAAAACACGGCCGCAGCGAGCAGGGCGAAAGTGACCACCTCTTCACGCGGCGCACCGTTTTGGAGCGGCCGGGCGAATTAGTCGCTAACGAGTCTGGAGGACACTCTCGACCGCCGCCGCCGACGGTACGCCGCGGGTAGGGCATGCACCCACCGGCGGACGGGCACTGCGGACACACCCAAAGCACGCAGCTTCCCAGACGGTTCCTGCTCCTTTTCCCTTTTATTTTCATTCGCGATCGCGTTGGCAGTGGAGCGCGAAACGCGACGGGGCACCGCGACGCGGCAACGCACGGCAGCAGCCGGCCGGCGGGATTGAATGAATAGTCGTGTCAAACGGTGTGCGTGCGTGTGTGTGCGTGTAACCGGAGCCCAAGCTCCTTCCAGTTTCCTCCAGAGCACGGAGGTCGGGGCCGCCACATCGCCCCCGCCGCGGGCCGACGCGGGCCGCACGCAGCCCCGCCCAGCACCCAGGGCGGCGTCCGATTTCAGCACCGTGGCGACATAGGCGTGGCGACCTGGGATGATCGCCCGACTAATCCGCCCAGAATGTGGCGAGCTGCTGCCGCTGCTGCCACGGGCAGGGAGCGGAGCCCTGGCCGTTTTCGCGAAACGCCAAGGGACACACGGCCTGGGGTTCACGCGAGTTCACGCCCCCGCCCCCCACGCCCTCCCCGCGGGGGCTCCAGTTTCGCCTTCGCCCCGCCGCCGGGGACGCAGCACTGGGACACGGTCCGCGGCGCCGGCCCCAAGGCCCTCGCCGTCTACGGCGACACAGCCACGCATGTCCACGGCCTGCCGAGTCGCGGCGCGACGCGACCCCCCTTCTCGCGAAGCTTCCCGAAGCCAAGGACGAAAGACGCGCCCCACAGCCAGGCAGCCAGGCCACCTGCTGCAGCATTGTCGCCGTTTCTCCTGGAAGCACGACTGCTTCGCCTTCGCGGGGTGGCCGGGCCGCGCCATGGCCGTGGCCGCGCCTTTCTCGAGGCCAACAACAATGCGGCGCTGCGGCAGCGCGTGCGCCTGCACACGGCGCGCAGTGCACAGCGCACACACCGGGCAGGGTGGGGGCGTCGTCGTGTTTTCGTGTCCGAACACGGATCTCCCCTATAGGGCCGCCGAGACGGCGGAGGCACAAATGCAGCACAACTGCAGTCCAACTGCAGCCCCCCTCGGCGCGGCCCCGACGGACACCTCGGCCGCCGCGGGCCCGTCCCGTCCTCCCCGTCCCCGTGGATTGAGATGCAAACACCGTCCGGCAGGTGAGGGTGACGGTGAGGGACGCGACGTCCCCGAAAGACCAAGGACCCTGCCTGCGGACCCCTGCCAAGCGGCCCACCTATTCAACGCTGCGATTGCTGCGATTGTCCATGATGTTGTCGTCGTGTGGGTCGAGGTCGAGGACACGCAGCAGGGTTGGCGATCTCTCCGCCCGCGTAGAGTAGCGCACTGTCGCCAACGTGCGCGCCGTACGTTTCCGCATCCAAAATCCTTTTTTCGCATTTCTCCTCTTTATCTCGCCCGTGCTTTGCTTGCTTGACCTGGCCTGGCGGCGCGCCCCGGTGGCACACTGCGTTAGCATGCAGGCCAGGGCGCCGCCACGCACCCGCGGCCCGTTCCGTCCGATGCCGGGCGCTGCGCGCTGCGCCTGTTTGTTTTAGCGATTACATGTAACCGCGCGAGCGAGGAACGCCGCAAATGCCCTACGGCGTACGCGACCTGGACTCTGGACCCAAACAAAGCAGTAAAGAAATTGGCGCGCGCCGCCGAAAAGGACGCACGCGGTCTCGGAGCGTCGGCGCGAACGGCAACGCAACAAGGTGAGGTTGCAACGATACCGCACGGCCAAGCTCCCGGCTGCCTTGCCTGCCAGGCCCGGCCAGGCCAGGGGTCATGCCTCCGAAGCGCTCCGAACGGACACCACGGACCGTCCCTAAATCGGCCCGTCGCCGCGCGCAGTGCTAGCAGTGCTGTGCGTCGCGTCACAACAGAGCCATTGAGCGGAGAACAAAAAGCCCTTCCTTGCGCCATGCCGGCCCTGCGCGCTATCGCCGCTCGAGTAACGGTGCCCTCTGGACCGGGCAGACCGGCAGACGGCCAGCGGCCAGGGTGGTTGCCCCCGGACGCCTAGGCCAGCGGGGTGTGCACTTTCCCTCCGCCAACACGACCGGACCGTCGCCGGGCCGATGATACCGAGCGCCAATTCGATGGCGTGCGAGACGACACGCCGGCGACACGCCGACGACACGCCGGCGACACGCCGACGACACGCCGACGACACGCCCAAACGGTGGCCTCCTGCTTCCTTCCTAGGGCACATTGGCGTCGCTCGAATCGGCGGACCCAAAAGCAATCAGTGTACACATGGCACTGCTCAGGATCAGCACATATCCCAAGCGTCTCAAGCATGTGTAAGTAAGTACTACCCCACTGTGGGGTAGGACAAGACTCCAATCTCTAGCAGACCCTCCCCATCCCTCCCACCCATCCCCTGCCTCCCCCTCCACTCTGCGGCGAGTGCGATGGGCTGCCTGCCCGTCGGGCGGCGCGCGGCCCGCAGGCCGCCGGCTGGTGTCGAATAGGTGGCCTATCCACCGGGCGCTCCCCGACTCAGAACTCAGCCTTACCTCAGGAGGATGGTGAGGTGGATGTCGTCGCTCATGCGGTCCAGGGCGGCGGTCCCCTCCACGCGCACGGCGTTCACCTTGTCGCGCAGCGCCTGGCTGGAGCCCACGAGCGAGTGGCGCTCCCGCAGGATGTCCATGATGTTGGGCTGGCGCAGGAAGGCCACCACCTTCTCGTTGTAGGCCGTGGGGATGTCCACCACGGCGGGCTGCGCGTGCCGCCCCATGGCCACGGCGGCGTGGCCCGCGGCAGGGCGCGGCGGTGGGGCGGGCGCCTGAAAATTTAACGCTTCGGTTACAACAAATTTGACAAAATATCATTCTGGAAAAAATGAAAAAGGGTGCAGCGTACTCAGTCGTAATGAATACCTTGAAAAGCAAAATGAGTAAAACATTACTAACAAAAAGGAGTACTGATTATTGTGATAAAATAAAAGTCTACAGTACATCATTCATAGCATGAGCAAACAAGAATAAAAATACAAGAAAAAAGAACGAGCTAAGAGTTCAGAGAGGTGGTGGTGAAAAACAGTTTACAAAGGAAAAATCATTGCTACACATTGTCTACACAAAATCTAGAAAAATAATCAGACCCCTACTGTATGTTCGTAAAAATAAGAATCTCTATCATAGGCAACAACACAAGGGATGTGGGTGAAATTGCACACGCAGTACTACCACAAACAATGTTCTCAGTTGATTGGTCTTTAGTAAAGTTAAGATGGGTGAAAGAAAATATAATATTCATTAACAAAATATTTTCTACAGAAGACTGTGCCAGAAGATCAAAAATTGGATAATGATTCAGAGGAAATAACTAAGTGTACAGGAGAAAATCAGAAACTACGAAAACAAAACGTTCTATCAAAAGCCACTTGATTGAAGGCGATTTCTAATCAAACCCTACTGGTCAAAACCAAATTCTGAACTCACTCGCACTCGATTCAACTCCTCCTCTCCTGCAGAACGGCTTCGTCGCCGTGCTCCCATTAATAAAAATTTATGCAGTTCAGTGGGTACACGAGGATCCATGAACGTAGTTGTTTTTGTTTTATGGTCAATGAAGAATTGCTGATGAAGTGAGGGTGAAAGGAGAAGGCAGAGGTATGAGATATATCAGACACATAAGGAAATAGATAGACTGGTAGTAGTAAGATTAAAGGGGTAAAAATGGAATGTAGGCATTGACAACAGACAACAGGCAATCAAATTACAAAATAAAATCATCCATACCTTTCCATATCTGTCGAATTTGGTCTCCCAGCCTCTGGGCAGATCTCTAGTAGTATCGGCAAATAAATTGACTAGTAGAACAAGGTCCTTATTATGTTGATAACGTTCAAACCACGTTGGGTCTCTCCTAATTTTAGAGATCATGTGTTTTAGTGAGCCATTTCTGTTGTAGAGAGCAAGAGCCTCCTGTACAAAAAAATATGAAAGGTTGAATTAAAGTAATGAAACTATGCCATTTTCCCAACCTTTTTTTTTTTTTTTTTTGGTATTTAAGAGAAAGTTGGATTTTTACGTACCTGATTCATATGAAGGAGGGTGAAAAAGTCAGCCCGACAAATGAATTTGACTCCAGGCGTAAAGTTGAGGGACTCCCTGTCGACTCCGGCATGAACACTCTGGGCCATCCCGCTGGTGCTGGCAGTGCTGGCCACCCAGGGCCCCAGTGGTGCTCCGTTCTGCAGCATGATGCCGTTGCTGGTGCCGGCGTGCGCGGCGTGCGCGGCGTGCGCGCCGTGGCCAGGGTGCGCGAGGGAGCTGGAAGCCATGGCGGCCACAGAGGACGAGGGCGTCGCGGGAGGAGGCGGAGCAGAGGCAGTCGGCGGTGCCATGGGGGTCATGGCGGTGATGGGCACAGTGCCGCCGCTGTTGCTCCTGCTGCTGCTGCAGCTGTTGCTGCTGCTGCTACTGGTGGCGGCATCGTGCTGAGGCACGTGACCAGCGGGCCCGGGCTCCGCGACCGCTCCACCCACGGCGCCTTCCTCCTCGTCCAACTGCCTGGACGTGATGGTGCGGCGGATGCTCTGGTACCTGGCAGACAGCATAGTGGGCGAAGTGATTACCGAGGTCTCATTGCACGGGCAGCAGGGAAGGGGTGAATGCTCCTCCAGTGGCGAGCACACTGTACAGTACCTCCGATCCAGCTGCTGGCGCTGCAGCTCGTTGCTGGCTGGCCTGGGCGACCGGCTGGAGTTGGCGGCGGGTCGCGTCCACGTCGTGGTGCGGGTCACGTGGTCGATGTAGAATATCCTGCCGTGGCTGTCGATCCGGGCCTCCCAGTCTGCAACAAAGCCAAAGCCAGGCGCGCGTTTAGACGACGCTCAAACCGGCAGGGCGGCGCGACACAAGTGCAACGAGGGGCACGGCGGTGCGGGCGATCTGCCGCTCGACTCACAGGCAGGCAGCGGCTCGGGCAGGGCGCCGCTCACGTCCATCCGCTGGGCCTTCTTCTCCGGGATGGACGGCAGCCTGGAGGCGGGCACGTGCCGCAGAGGCACCGGCAGGGGCGCCGCCCCCAGCGCGCCGGGCTGCGACGAGGAGGCCGCGGACGCGGTGGACGCGGCCGATGCGTAGCTGGGGGCGGGGGAGGTCGGCGCAGGGATGGACGGCGGGGGCGGCAGGGGGGCGGCGTGGTGGTGGTGCAGGTGGTGGTGGCCGTGGTGCTGCAGGTCAGTCAGGGGCAGCGTCACCTCTTCAAATACGTTGTCAGAGTCTCCGCCCGCGTCGCCGTTCAAAGGCAAGTCCCTGCAGGACAAACCAGGTTCAGTACAGGTTCCATGGAAATGCTGATACCCACTCGGAGAGAGAACCGTGGGACTCCGCACCTGACAGGGCTGCCCTGGTTGCTGGGCGGGCTGGGTGGGCTGGTGGTGGCGTCGTGTAGGTTTCCCATGGCGCTCCTGGACGTCACCATGCTCCCCCTGCAGTTGGCGCCACTGCTGCCACTGGCGCCGTTGCTGGACTCTCCGTCGCCGGGCTGGCCATTCTGACCGCGGTTCTTGGCATGGTGCGTCGGCGTGGGCGGGCACTGCGGCAACGGCGACGAGCTGCCCATGGCCAAGCCCCCCACGGAGCTCAAGGTGCCACCGGGACCGTGGACTCGGCTAAGCAGCCTGTAAAATAGAGTGTATATAAATTAATAAACTGTCATTCAGGAAAACAAGGAAACCTGACCGGTTGGTGTGGTCGGTACTAACCTGTGCAGCCTGGGGGACAGGTACTTGGGCTCCACGGCGGCCGCGCTGACTGTGGCGGCGGGCTGGCTGGGTGCGGCGGCCAGGGCGGCCAGGGGCGCGGCGATGGCGAGAGGCGGGTGGCTCACTTGCCGAGACAGCAGCTTGTGGGGCCGCACCACGTCCGCGGGCGCGGGCGGCGGCGGCGCCTCCTCCGACAGGCTCATCACCTGCCGCCGGAGCAGCTGCACCGAGGACGTGCCGTCGCGGTTGGCGTCGCGGTGGGCGTCGCGGAGCCGCGAGCAGCCGGGCCCGGCTTCAGGGAAGGAGGTCGCAGCCACCTGTTGGCCAGAGAACACGGTTACACTGCGGCTCGGGGCACCGGCACGAGCCTGGGCCTGGGCCGGGGCCGGGCAGTCGGCGGAAGTACGTGCCTGCGCGGTGTCTGCAGACATTCCGTGGCTGAGGGACTCGGAGCTGGAGCACCCCGCGGCAGTGGCGGCCACGGGCACCGCGCCCGAGTCCGAGGAGGGCGTGGGCATCGACGAACTGGGCGTCATCAGAGACGTGGCAGTGCTGGGTTCGGCCGTGTCGGGAATGGGCAGCAGTCGGGCCGAGTTGTCGTCCGACGTCTTCCTGGAGCCTGGAGGCGAGCTGTACTCATCCATCGAGCTGGTGGGGGCCGACGCCGTCGATGGCACCACGGCGTCACCCTCGGCGTCCGCGTCCACCTCACACAAACGGTCCATGGCACTCACACACACGTGGGCGGCATCGTCCAGGAGGTTCTCAAAGGAGGACCCACTCTCAGGGGTGGCCAGGGGCGCGGCCTCGCACAGGCAGGTGGCCGGAGACGGCCGCGGCGGGTCGGGAACGCGGCGGCACTCCTCGGCGTCCGTCTGCACAGGGCGACGAGGCCGCGGCGGGACGGCGGGGACCTTGTGTCGCAGCGCGGGCGGCGGCGGCACGGCGGGGGGAGCGGCGGAGGACGCCGACAAGTGCACGGCCCGCGTGCGCTCCAGCGGCCGGTGCTGGTGGCCGCGGTGCGTGCGCGGCGGCAGCGGCGGTGGTGGCGGCTCGTCGTCGGCGAGCTCGCTGGGGTACAGCGTCTCGTACAGGCGGCGGTTCACGTCGCCGGCTGCAGCGGGGGCGCGCGTCGAGGCCTGGCTCGTTGCCGCGGCCTCCTGGCCGTCCGCGGCCTGGCTGGCTCCGCGGTGCCGACTGCTGGGCCAGATGGGGTAGTAGTTGGCGTCGCTGGCGAGGCCGTGCTGCGGGCTGGACGAGGCTCTAGACGAGGCCACGTCCTGGCTGTCGAGGCTGAGGCCGAGGTCCAGGGTGCGCTGCGCCGTCTCGTGGGAGTTCCACGTGGCCAGCTCGGGGTGCTGCTCGCGCCGCTCTTCGGGGGCGGCGATGTGGGTCGCGGCCTCAGGCCTGGCCTCAAGCCTGGCGTCGGCGTCAGGCCGTTGCTCGGGGGCGGCAGGCTTGGGCCGCACTCTGCCATCGCTGCAAACGACAAAGAGATTTAGAGCGTCACGTGATACCTGAACCAAACCTCCGGCTGACAACATCCATCGCGCCCCGCGTCCCCAATTTTGCAACCAGGCCCGGCCCGGCCCGCCCCGCTCGAAGCCAGGCAGGCGCCTGTCGCGCCGCGTCGCGCCCGCCGCGTCAGCACGCCGCGCTTGGCTCCATGAATGGCGAGGCGAACGGCGTTGCAACACTTGGGCCGGCGCGTCGCTGCGCTGCGCTGCGCTGCGCTGCGGTCGTTCAACTTGACAAACGCGGCGCAACGCGGTGCAACGCCGGGCCGCTCCTTCAGACGGAAGCCTCGGCGGCCGCAATCCGCAACGTCGGCGAGGCAGGGCGAGGCAGGGCGAGGCAGGGCGAGGCAGCGCCAACCGCAGATTCACCGCTGTGCCGAGTTCGCCCCGGCAGCCCGCCACAACGAGGAAGCGCGGACAGGCCTGGACGCACTCCGCCTGCGGGCATAAACACGCCCCATCCACTCACCTCTGATCCTTGTTCACGTCGAGCTCGGCGAAGCCGTTGACGATCCTCCGCGTGTCCCGCTCGGCCTTGTCCTTGTCCGCCTTGGCCGACCTGGCGGCCTTCTTCTTGTGCAGTCGCCAGCTCTTCTGCTTGCGCTGCTTGGACGACGTCTCCGCGTCCGAGTCGCTGTCGCTGCTGCCGCCGGGGCCCGGCCGGTGCGAGCTCTTGGCGGCGCGGCCGCGGACCCGCTGCACCTGCGGCTGGGGCTGCGGCTGCGGTTGGGGCTGTGGGGGCAGGCTGGGCAGGCTGGGCAGGCTCAGGGGCTCGGACTGCGCCAGGCAGCTAAGGTTGAGCCCGCTGTAGTACCGGAAGCACAGCAGCTTGGCGCATTCTGGAACACGAAAAGCAGGCGTGAGTCACTGCCGAGGCATACTGCAGCCCGAGGCCGGCGTCGACGCGGCGACGCGGCCACATCGTGGCGGCCACCTTCTGACGAGCACTCGTGCACCGTGGAGCGGGCCGCTGAGCGATGCAGCCACCCCCGCCCCCACCACCCCGACCAGCGGTGACGGTGTCGACGGCGCGGTGGCGGGACCAAGGGGCCGTCCTGGGGTGGGGCCGAAGGGCTGTCTTCAGGGGGGCTGACGTCGGCGTCCTCCGGGGGCCCTGCCGAGGGACGCGTCCAGGGCCAGGCCATACTGGTGGACCTGCGCCCACCTCGCTGCGGCCGCGACTGAGTGGAGTGAGTACTCGGTTCGGGAGTCGGGCCAGTCGGGGTCAGTAGCGTGAGGACGGCGTCGAAGCACCGCGATGCGACTCGCCGAGATCCGGCGCCGATAAGATAGCCCAGCCCCACCCATTCATGCCGCATGCATGCGAGCGCAGTGCGAGCGCAGTGCCACGGCAGTGCGCACCCTCACCTTGTTGGGTTAGGGCGAGTTCACGGGCGGTCTGCGGCAGGTCTAGCAGCCACATCGTGTCCCCGGACTGGGAGCCCAGGACGCCCGGCCCGAGACTCGCCAGAGACTTGGACGAGTCGGTCTCATCTGCAACAGAAACAACCAAGTGACGCGGTCAGTCCAAGCACGGCAAATCGAAGCAGAGGAACACACCGACGACCAGGCACAAAGAGCCTGGGCCCGGGGCCCTAGGCTCGGACGGCGGCCCTCATGACGTCTCGCTGCGTCTCATGACAAAGACAAGATTAAGACAGATATCGGTCCCACCAGGCTAACCAGGCTCGCCGGCAGGCCATGCTTTCCCCGCCCGGCCGAGCCTATGACGCTCTCTGAGTCACACAGACCAATCCAAGACAAGCGCAGCCAGCGCTGTGGGAGGGAGGGAGGGAGGGAAGGCCCAAATTGGTCGTTACGCCAATAATGGACAAGTGCGCCGTGGCGCTGCTGAGGATGCCTCCACCATTCCGCCTTTATTATAGTTTTCGTCGAGGACGTCCCCGATGACGTCCCCGAGCACGCCGCTGAGGACGCTGCCGAGGACGCCGCCGGTGACTCGGGCGACGGGACAGTGCAGGTGCGCGACGCCCAGCCGCAGGTGCGAAGGGCGACGGCGGCCCCACGGACACCGCCACCTGCTGCACGTGATTCATCGTGGCGTGCAAGCGCGACGCAACGCGCTCGACGCGCGCCCGGAGCATGCGGAGCACTGAGTCACCGCGAGGGGCACGCCGATGTCATGCCGCGCACCGACCAACGCCAGGAGGAGGAACGCCGGAGGAACGCCTCAGGAACGCCTCAGGAACGCCACAGGAACGCCTCAGGAACGCCACAGGAACGCCTCAGGAACGCCACATGAACGCCACAGGAACGCCACAGGAACGCCACAGGAACGCCACAGGAACGCCAGGGGGAACGACTGGGGGAACGCCTCGTTGACTGCCTTGTGAGAACCGTCTGAGGAACACGGAGCAAAATCAGAGGAACGCCTGACGCCTGAGAACCGTCTGGGGAGCGCCAAGCAAAACTCATTCATTCATGAGGAGCACGAGGAGCGAGCCGAGCGAGCCGGCCGGCAGCGTGGAAGTGAACGACCACGCGGCCTTGCCCGCCTTGCCCGCAGCCCGAAATAACTAGGAATACCGCGACGCGCGCACAGACACACAGAGACACGCGTGGCTACAAGGCTCGGTGACAGAAGCGATCGAGCACCTCTTGTAAGGACCCAAGTCGAGGAATGGGGCCCATTAATCCACGCCCTAATTTTATCAGTTGATTACCTCCCACTGTCTGGTCGCTATCACGCCATCACGACGATACCGCGATGAATGGAAAGGCGTGGCCTCGCCGCGGCCGCTTCGAGTGCAGGCCCGACACTACACTTGACTCGGCGGCCAGAAAAAAAGCGAGCAAAAAACAAAAACAATGGGGAATCCCATCCACATTCACATTCCCATCCCAGGGCCTAAGACACGCCGTCACGCCGCGCCGCGCGTTGCCAGGAGAAACGCAACGCGCAAGGACGGGCACGCGCGGCGAACGCGGCGGACATGGAGAGAGACACAATGAACGGCGAGGTGACCGGGTGACCGCCACATGTCACGTGCGTGTCACGCCGTGTCACTTCGTTACCGGCAGGCCCGGCGGGGGCGGGGCGGGGTCCACCCGTCCGCTCTCCAGATGGCGGGCGTGGCGAGGCGTGGCGAGGCGATCGCTGGGCCCTTCAAGGAAGTGCTAATCCAGTCCATCTGTGCCCCCGGCAGGCCCCGCCGTCTCCGCCGTCCCCGGGGGACGAAAGGTACGACCCTGACCACCTCCAGCGGGCACCTCACGCGCCTCACGCACTCTCACGCACCAGCCCGGCCGGATGGCCGGATCAACGAACATTGGCCCGGGTCGCCTTTTCAACGCAGTCACGTACGATTCCAGGCATGTGGGTCAAGCATCGCCTTGTTTCAATGGCGGGGCGGGGCGGGGCGTGGCACGGAGCGTCCCCGTCAGGCCGTCAGGACCTATTCACGGTACCGATCAACCCCGAGAGGGTCGAGAGAGGCACACGTGTGCGGGGGCTGGGATTGCTGCCTTCAGGCTGTCTCTCTCGCACCAACACGGGACGTCCCAGAGAGAGAGCGAGTGAGGAAAGCACTCGGAATCAGTCTGCTGGGCCGGCCTCAATCAACGGAAGAACAGCAGCGTGGCCGCGACTTTCAGAAGAGGCTAGCCCACTGTCCAAGAAAAGATAGGCAATTCCATCCCGATTTTGGAAATGTCACCGTAAAACTGACCGCGCCGTCCATAAAGAAGGAGGAATAATCGTTCGACTTCCTTCCAATAAAATCCGTCCGCCCAGGCAACACCCGACGCATCCAGCAGACACCTGGCCGTGCCCGCCGTGCCTAGCCGCGCCCCGCTGCGCTGCGCCTGCCCGAGCCAGACAACACCGGTATTTACTACCCCACCCCCTTCCTTCCGGCTTCCGGCCCCTAGCCGTGCCGTGCCGCGCCGCGCCGCGCCGCCAGCAACGCCTGCCAGCCACACCTTTGCTTCCTATCCCGGCCCGGCCTGCCCGGCTCCAAGCCGAAGATGCCCGGCAAGTCATGCCGCGACGACCTGGCGTCTGCTATCAAGGACCCTGACCAAAAGAAAAGCAATATTTTCCCGTCCGAAAAAAAAGCTGACTCGTTTTTGCTTTCTTAGAGAATGACTAACGAATCGTAACCCCTATGCTCCATCCCACAACCCTCTCCTTTGCGAGAGCGTCGTGCGTCGAATGTCCTGCCGGTCCTGCCCTGCTGGCTCCTTTCGAGAGTCGTTTTCATCGCTCTGTCTCTCCCGCACCTGAGGCCCTCTATGAGTTCAAGAGAGACAGAGCGACAAAAACGACTCTCGGAGTCAGTCTCCTGGCCGTCGTCGTCGTCGGCCTCCACCGGCCTCCACCCCGCCGACGTCGACGGGCACGTCCCCGGCACGCGCGTGACGCCACGACTCGTCGCCGCGCCTCGCCGTGAGTCACCACAAAAGGCTTCATTCATTCATCGTCCTCTCGCCCCACCCCGCGAGCACCCCCTCCTCGTCCTCCTTTGGAAACCGGAAGAAGAAGACCCTTAAAAGGGCTTCCGCCCCGCCCCGCCCCGCCCCGCCCCGCCCCGCACTTCCGACTTGCACCAATAAGCCGGCGGTTCCTGCGGAAGTGGCGGCATAGCGTCGGAGAGACGTGCCGGCCGCAGCGCCGCAGCGCCCCCTCCCCCCCCCCCTCGTTGCCGTTGCCCCGCTGTGCTAAGCAGGCTGGCGACAAATCACCTTCTCGCTGTCCAGCGTGTCCACACGCGAGGTGCCGAGACGCCCTGGTCTTCGGCGGCGTCATCCGATTAGTGCAGGGCCACGCGCCTCCGCGGCCTCCACCACCGCGTGGGACCCAAGGCCACGGGGCGGGGCTCGCGGCGCTGGGGCTGGCAGGGCTGGCTGACGGGGCGGCCGAGCAGCCCGCGGGCCATCCCGCCGGCCGGCCGGCACCAAGACACGACCGCGCTGATACCAGTCGCGATTACGAAAGCGTCGACATCGCGCTGAGGTCGCGGGTTCAACTCCGCCCGGAAGCGGCGACCGCATCGCCCGCCGCGCGCGGAGATTTATTTTGCGTGCGTCTGAATGGCTACGGCTCGCATGCACTATGCACTCCGAGCAGGCAGGCAGGCACGAGACAGCAAACAGCATGCGGCCGGCGGTGCTGGCAGCGGATGCTGCAGCCTGCAGTGTGCCTGCAGTTGCCCGCAGTCCGCAGCCCGTCCCGTCCCGCCCCGGCCGCAGCCTGCAGCCGCCACGTGGCACCGCGCAAACGCACCACAAGTACACCACACAGTACTGTGCCGCGCGCTGGAGCAGCTTGAGCGGATTGAGGCTCTTCATTGCGCAACGGCATCCTTGACATTCGCCAGGCCGCGGGCCTCATGGCGGGCCTCATGGCGGGCCTCATGGCGGGCCTCATGGCGGGCCTCATGGCGGGCCTCATGGCGGGCCTCATGGCGGGCCTCATGGCGGGCCTCATGGCGGGCCTCATGGCGGGCCTCATGGCGGGCCTCATGGCGGGCCTCATGGCGGGCCTCATGGCGGGCCTCATGGCGGGCCTCATGGCGGGCCTCATGGCGGGCCTCATGGCGGGCCTCATGGCGGGCCTCATGGCGGGCCTCATGGCGGGCCTCATAGCGGGCCTCATGGCGGGCCTCATGGCGGGCCTCATGGCGGGCCTCATGGCGGGCCTCATGGCGGGCCTCATGGCGGGCCTCATGGCGGGCCTCATGGCGGGCCTCATGGCGGGCCTCATGGCGGGCCTCATGGCGGGCCTCATGGCGGGCCTCATGGCGGGCCTCATGGCGGGCCTCATGGCGGGCCTCATGGCGGGCCTCATGGCGGGCCTCATGGCGGGCCTCATGGCGGGCCTCATGGCGGGCCTCATGGCGGGCCTCATGGCGGGCCTCATGGCGGGCCTCATGGCGGGCCTCATGGCGGGGCTCGCCGTCGATGTTGTCTGCCTGCCCGCCCGGCTGCCCGGCTGGCTGCCCGGCCGGCCTGGCCGCACCGCAACCATAACAACAACACGGCGGCTGCGGCGCAGAAGCAGGATGAGCAAATAACAGCGATGCGATAGGCCACGCGCCGCCTCGAGTCGCAGCCAGCGCCAGCCAGCGCCACGCGGTCTATGGCGCGCCATGGAGGGGCGGCGGGGCCGAGCCCTGGCCGCTTAGCAGCTTAGCCGCGGTGGCGACGGATCCGCGTTTCCGCGAAAACGAATTCGGAGAGCGGCCGCGGGCGCGAGCACGCCACAGCACGCCATCACCGGCAGCGGGTGGGGCCAACCGCGTGCGTCGCTCTATCCTCTATCCCCCGCCGCCACCCACACTCTATTCCCGCCTTTCACCCCGCCTCCCTCTGTCCTCCTCTTCGTCGCGTATTGCTCGAATTTCTCTCTCCTATCCTGGCGTCTATCCGTCCGCCGTCCACCGGGCCGGCTGGCAGCAGGAAGGCGGAGGCAGGGCGGAGGCGGATAGAGGGAATCTAGAAGATGAGCAGCGGGAGCCCCCGGCCACTCGAACCGAGCCGCCGCGCCCCGCCCCGCCAGCCGGTAGAGTCTCCTGCCCATAAAGAACGGCCCGCTAATTAAGAGCCCGCAAGTCAAGCCTAATAGGGCACGCCGAGGATCTAGGCGCGCCGAGGATAGACACGGTCCGAGGGCGGGGCCGCCGGCCGGCGGATGCGAGGTGGGGAGGCAGGAGGCAGGCCGAGGGG